ACCTCTTATAAAAATTAAAAGTAAGAGTATTATTTGGACGACTTTATGGGCTTTTATTATATTTTAATTTTGACATGAGTTATAAATATTAGAAAAAAAATGTACARTTAAAAAATTCTTGTAACTTGGTTCAAAATTAAAATATAATAAAAAGCCTATAACGTCGTCTAAAGACGAAGCTAAACGTARTATACTGAGCRTAAAACTTGATATGTTATACAATTGTAAGATATACACGGGTATAACGTCCTCTTAATAGTAATTTGTATAGTATATAGACTTTAATGTTTCACAATGTTTATAAATCCATAATAATAAAATCATCTTAATAATTAAAAGTATTGCATAATTATACTAGCATGAACTGAACCGTATCCAATAACTTATAAATCAAAAGTGATAATTTTAACAAACGTGCAATATTTATAACTCAATTTTATAGAAATACCTGTATTTGGCTTAAAACTATTCTTATTTTTTAGTCAATAATTTTTTCAAACATCATGCATAATGTTCCATTAATAACGACGTTTTTGACTTTTGTTATTTAATTTGATCAATGTATTTTATTTTATCATACGCTGCGATAAATTATAATAACCAACAACTATTGTTTAGTTGTATTGTCAAACTGAGAGTTACGAGTAAATACATTTAAGTGGCCGTAAAAGGGAAGAGAACTCTGTCCGTAAATTGATTTGTTTGTTACCGTTATTTCAAATATGATTGTCCTTAATTGAATGTAAACGTGTTACAGATACAACTACGGGAGCCCGTTGTATTCAGTTGTTGCTTTTGTATACATATTGCATATGCGCAAATTATGATATTAATAAGTGATAATAACCTTCTTKCCATCACGATGTTTGCATTTTGCGATTTTGAATCATAAATCGTTTTACGATTGTACACGTACTTTATCATGGTTGATAAAATTATATTCCAAAAACGCCTACCTGACAATTACCTACTAAGCATACATTTTAACTAACCCCACTACCATAGACACCACATCGGATGGTTAGAACAAATCATATCATTTATCACTACATAGAAAATATATTATAAAGGTATACCCAACCTACAATCCATGTTTAAACCAGAAGTATTTAAAAAGTGTAGGTAGGTACGTTGTATTTTAATTTTTAATAAGTTTAACGCACAATAAAAACCGAATGAAAAAATATACATAAAAATAAATAGTAAAATATTGTTTCATCCGGATTATTATTATTATTATTATATGCGACTACATGCTTGGCACTATAGCTATATTATGCACGGTGATTCTATTTGTATAAATAACGTATATAACATGAATAATAAAGTGATTTGAAGTTATRTTATTATTATTTTTCTCCTTGCATGTTCTAACTTAACAATACGTCAATACAATTTCGTGATAATTTAATATTTTGGTTTTAAACAATCATAATATATTAAATCGACAATAATAAAGTCCTTTGTATGTTTGAGTTTGACGAAAAAATATTGTTGAAGTAAAGCATAAGTTTCAGTTATTATATAATCGTTGWGTGTTTTACGCGTAGATTATTTCTTTTATTGAACATTTGCAGTTAACACAAAATTGAAGGCATACATATTAAAATAATAAACAATTAGCTTAATCATTATTGAAGCCTTAACAGATAACAATAATAAAAAAAACTTAAAAATAATATTTGGATATTCTACATTTCCATGCAATGGTATGTTTAAGAACAAACAATAATTTAATACATTATAATATAGCTAAAATAAATTATAAACATAAATGTTTGTGTGTAATACCTACAATATATTATGATACACACTATAATATTGATTTAATAATCAATGATCTAATGATCATGATAAACGCCCATCATAAGTATGATAATATAATAATTTAATATACAAAGGAACCAATGTAAATTTCATTGCAAACATTTTAACCCGAACACTACAATGTTCCATTTATACATTTAAAGCATCACGAGAACCATTACTCATTACTTTTTATAATACTATATTGATAATACTGTTGATGAATAATTTGAGGATTCCGTYAATGTGTAAAGGTCTTAAATCCTTCGTCTCAAGGCGTTTAATCGTTTCCTCATCAAACGCATTCTAGCYAGGTTTYTTCTTCTGGAGCCGTTCAACATAGGGTTGAATCTAATGTTTCTCGTGCTTCCTAAAACGTTATTCGGTATCATCAGCCTCGGTTTGAARAGTAAATCTAATGTCTGTTTTCCAATGGCCAATGCTTGCTGCAATACATTCTGTATCAGTGAAGGTAGTTGCACATCAGTCGAACTTTCCACTTGCTGCAAACAATATAATTTAACGTCGTCATAACACAATAACGCCACGACACAACAACTTCTGAACGGCGGCTCCCTTTAAAACCTCCCTCGTCAACGGAACTAAACCTTKGTCATTAAGTATAGGTACCACTAAACTATTTATCTACCATTTATCTACCACTAAACTATCCCTGTTATGGTGTAACATTTTTAACATAATTGTAATATAGATATACATTGGTCAGTGACACCAGCCTAACCTAACTCGACAAGCAGGCAGTGGCCAGGATTTCTACAAGGGGGGGGGAACAAAAAAAAAAATTAAATAAATATCATTCAAATAACAGTTTTTAATTTTCCAAACACTTGGAAAATATTGATGATAATTACACGCTTATCAATCTACGGTGTTTTGATAAACAATAAACATTACATTTTTTTAAATTTTAACTACCAACCGGTACATAGTCAAAATTAATAAATTTACTATTATTTTTTTTAATACTATATGATATTATATGATAMGGCCCATGGGAAGGGGCATAGCCCCTGTGCCTCCCTGGCTACGTCACTGCAAACAGGTGGAGGTATGAGAGAAGTTAGGAAACCACTTTTCTAAGAACATAACATTTGATTCAAAAGTTCCAAATGCCTAATTTTGTTTAATAGTACGGTATTAAACATTCAAACCTTCGGAAATATATAAATTAAAACGCTAGATTATTAGCACAGTATAGTTTTATAATTGCACACACCGTGAAGTTAACGGCAAAATCGAACTTTGATAACAAAAGACGCAGTTATTCGTAGTTGGTATTCGATTTTTACATAATGTGATTATTGATTAGTTTATTGAAAATTACTAATCGTTATTCGTTTTATTGTGAAGTTATCACTGCTGACCTAATTATATGTGTAAATGTGTTACAATTAAAATACTACTGCAGGTACTTTTTATAGGTAAGTAAAGTTAGCTTCGAATAAGAACTAAGAAGTAAGTTTTGAAATMGAGAACTATGAAAACTTCCAACTAAAAAATCGTTAATCTTTTAAACATAAATWATCGGATGTAAGCACAACTGCACAAGCATAACCATGCAATTATTTAAATGAGTTTAATTCTAAAATAATAATTTTAAATTTTATTAAACCTTGAGAAAATAGCAAAAACAAAATGTCGAAAGATTTTAATTACTGGATAATTATTATTTTAAATAGGTATAAGTATTTATAAATAATATTTTTAGAGAAAGTGTTCAAATAAATGATTGAATGGAACAAATGACAATATTGTGTTACACCTATCAAGTTTATTTATATCTAACGTTGCTTATAATTTATATATAGGTAGTAACATATCAAGGGCATGTTCGTTACGGTTAACGTAAAGCGCAATAGGAATTTTGTTTTWGTTTAATGTGCAATATACATTTACACGTTATCTAACGATATAATATTACAATTTCATAATTTTTTTTATGAAAATTGTAAAATTGTAATAGATGAATATTATATTTTCATGCACATAAGTATAATTAGAGTATATTCTACAAGTGTCCTATTTTTATTAAAATATGAAATATTCTGCGTACGGCAGTTCAAAAAAGCGAATGCGTTAGTCCAATATGTATACATTGTACCTAAATCATGTTTCTACGTTGCACTGCTTAACATACGATGACGGTCATATTTCATATTATGCATGCCTGTTTTTCAGTATTTAGTGTGTTGTCTATAGCTGACAAAATGTGATAAATGTGATAACAATAATGATAAATAATGATAAATAGTTTGTCCTAATATAACAAAACACTGAATAATAATATACATTGTTACAATGCATTATCTTAAACAATTATTATATAGGTACATGAATATTGGACGTAATGTTGATATAATATTATTATGTTTTGTGATACGAGTTTTGATACATTTACGAGTTCAGATTAATAATAACCTATATAASTTACAAGCATGTTTGAATCCTATAATAATTAAACGATACACTTTTATAATCATACACCTGCTTAAAAATAATGTAGTACGGCCAATCGGGAGCTGGTTCAAGAATGCTGTTGAAATAGGTGACTTCTGATTCGAAAGTTTAAGTTTAACAATTGTTTAGAAATAATGGCTTAAATAAACCAAAGTTAATTTTATATCAATGTATAAAAAAAAAAAGCATTCGAAAATCGATTTCCGATATTATTTTAATACTATTTTTTGATGATTCGTTAAAATACTATGTTGAAGTAATTGTTCATTAATACCTAAAAAATATTTAATATAGGTATGTTATCGCTTATAATAATATAATCTATCGAAAACGAAGATTCTATTAGTGGGCTCTTGATCTTTGAGGTAGGTTTACTTTAGCTAGGTAGTCTTATATATGACGGGTGCAAAACCGTTAAAAACGAAATGTATTAAACATGTATGATTATTTTTGTGATATATTGTCAAAATATAATGGGACCGATATTAATATATTATACAGTCTCGTTCAATTGATATATTCTATATATATATATATATATATATAGTTAAAATGAAACTCACATACGTGAAATTTCGTATACAGCATAAATTGACAACCATCAACTCATACAACATTGCTGTAAATGAACACAAATATAACGCCATAAATTATGCAATATTTTTATTCATWATGGAATTCTGAGAAATAAATTTAATGGTTGTATTATCTAGAGTGTGTGTACCTATAAACATAATATTTTAATTCGTTTGCAACTTTTCACCATAAAATATTTAATGAGTTCTTAAATAAATAATAATATTCCATTATATAAATTAATCCAACGCTAATGGCCCATAGTTGTCGAAGCAGAAATTCTTTGTAAATTTCAAGACCAATAAGAAAAATAAAAAAATAATATTCCACCKTAGACAAAGGGCGTCGAAAGAGAAAAGTCAGAAACTTTATGTATAAGTATAATAAATAATAAGTATAATAACACAATAGATTTATTGTAATTTTTAGTTGCGCTTACTTGTAGGATGGACATGGTTAAGGCGATCACCAGGAAACCACTTAGCAAACGACGGGAAGCGATCATAGTTTTTTTCTTCTTCTGAGGGCGGGTGTAAAAAAATAAATAGAACCAATTGTTATTTCATTTACGTTACCTATCAACTGTGCGTGCCGACTGAAGACTAAATAGATCTCTTGCTGACTATTTGATGGATTTCGTTATAATTTTATAAATATTTTATAGATTGCTTTAAGCGCCTATCGTCATTCGACTATATGACGGGATTAGATAAAACACAAAAAAAAAAAACGATTTATCACTGTATAATATTATATATATTATACCGATATAACATGTTGTTTGTTAAACAATATCCAATTGTTTTTTTGTTTGTACGGTGATTTCAACAGTGGCTGGTACATATTGATTGTGTGAATTATAATCAATGCTGGTATGATAATATTATATATTATAATACAGATACGTATTGTGATTTGTGGATGAATGTGTAGGAATAACTATGATTGCACTCTGATCAACATTTTTTTTATATATATGCAATATGCAATAATCTTATTGAAAAAGTACATAAAAAACAATAATAATTTCATCTTATTTAGGATTTAACATTGTATGTATTGATACCTGATGTTTATAGTATATGCTTATTGCTTATAATATATATATATAACCTACCATGAGTGCACTAACTGGCAATAATTGCATTATTGATTCAAACCTGCGTGTATAGTAATGATTATAGTAGTTATAATTAATTATACGTATGCTATTAAAATAACAGACTTTATTTGTGAATATCGTGATGTGGTRCCAAATTTGACAGTGTGATTATAGAGTTTAAGATTTAAACATTAAAATAATTGGATATTATTACCTACTTTTAGAAGTTCTAGCTACTGATAAGTACGATGAGGTACTGATGAGGTGCGTATTTAAAAAATGTTGCCTTATTAAGAGAGATTCATACTTAAATGAAATAACAGTATTAAAAAATGTCTATTGTTTTATTTATGTATAGTATTTTATTTATTTTATTATATTATTGTAATGTACTGTGCACGTATTGTATTTTTGGAATTTKTTCGTTGACCTGATTTGTAAATATTGGATTATGTTTACAGTATTATTCTCCACAGCTAAAAGTGAAATGTTAAGTGTGTCATGACAGCTGTATAGCTTGACATAGGATGTATAAAACTATAATTAATGATGATTTTTGTAAAATACTAAATATTTTTGACGAATATTATAAATATATGTTTGTCGTTTATTCAATGTACATTTATAKGAAGTAAAAAATTTATATGGTTTATACAAAAATATTGTTTGAAAATTAATAACCAAKTGGTTATTTTATATAATATACAGCAATCTCTATAATGCGAAACAAAGTATAGGATCGTATTGTAGACGTATAGTCTAATTATCAGAACTAATAAATAAAAGCTTAGATTGCATTCATGCCTTTGCCTATGTATTGTTTTTAATTGCATAATATTGCATAGAAATAAACTGCAACTAATCATTATCCCACAAGGTCACAATTTTTCAAAAAGAAGACCGTTAACTGATTTTTAACGTTCGTTTCTACCATTTAATTGTAGTCAGTGGTGCTAAATTCTCAGGTATACCGATTGGGGTAAATGACCAGGAAGTTTTTTTTAATGAGTAAGTAGGTCGATGAGTGGTTATAAGAGATTTATAGTATTCTTTCATGATTATAATACTTGAGAATGATGCTATAAAATATATTATAATATAATAATAATATGGCTGGCCACAAAAATTATTTTTAAATTTCTGGGGGTCCACTAACATTTTTTTCTCTAGAAAATGAAATATAGATCAGTGTTACTGAATGCTACTGAACTTTAAAGGCTCTTTATAAAAACAGTATAATTTAAATCAATTGATTTGGTGTTTAAGTTGTGTGAACAAAATCAAAATACATTTCAATATTGTGTATAAAAGTACAATGATTACATAATAATATATCAACTAAATGATTAAAATGAAACATAGGTATAGATATAAAAAAATATACTTCAAATTTGTGGATATTGATAGTCTAATTAGTCTGTAGACTATCTCTAAGGACTTTAGACCTTTTTATTTCTTGTTTTGCTATTAATATTATGACGTAATACGAAATGAGTCATACATTATCGATTTAGATGTTTATACCGAATTATATGACATAATATCCATTTCATACATATTATATATTATTATTAGACGTTTTCGTATGTACCTACTATACTAACGGTTCGTTTTTTTTTTTTTAAAAGGCCTATGTCGAAATATAAAACCACTTTTGAATTTTTATAGAAATAAATACGTAAATATATTTTGGTAAAAAAACAATGTAATGTTGTATCAAATTGAATGAATAGGTACGCATATTATAGTAATAGTGTAAAACTAAGTAGAGAGTAGTGTTAATATTAATAATAACAGTATTAATATTGTCGGATCTTATACTTATTTGCTAACATATAATACGTTTAAAGTTTAAATGTACTGGAGAGGTATTATAATTTTATATAAGTTAAAATGGAAAACGGCCCACCACAGAACGCTTATTACATGTTTACAAGACGATCAATGTAAATACATCCGTCCAAGTTTCAATATTGTTTACAAATGTCTAATTATATTATAACACGCGTGTATGGCGGTGATGGGGGACAAAACATTGTCTAGGATGTTTAAGGAAGCTCACAGTTTAATACATGAAAAATTTAATGTGATTATTTTACGATAGGTATAATATATAATTATAGCATATGAAGTGTGATCGGAGAGGTATCGTAACGGATCATCAATTGAGCTTTTCGGATTTCATGAAGTCTTGGGTCTTGTCAACGACAGCGTCCTTGGCCTTGTTGGCTGCGTCCTTGGCCTTGTCGGCGGCATCCTTGATGTGCTCTTCCGACGATGATTCCGGATGCCTAGGCTGGTCCTCCTCCGAGCTGGCTTTGTTGAACGTGGTCTTGACCTTCTCGATGACTCCGTTCACCAGCTTTTTGGTGCCAGCATACGCCTCCTTGCGTTTCTCGTTCAAGCTGTCCAGCGTGTCCGAAGCTCCCTCCTTGACGCTGCTCACGAAACCCTTGAACTTGTCTTTGAATGAGCTGGATGATGTAGATGTCTCGGGTGTGTCCTTGTCAGCCGTCGCGTGTCCGACGATCTGCTGGTGCACGTCCTCTGCTCCGTGTTGCTGATGATTCTCATCGGACGCGGCCAACTGCACAAAACAATAAATCAACCTCATAGATACACTGGTCATATATATCATAGCACTGATGTGACGGACGTGGTGCTCGTCGTACACATAAATCTTTATTGTTATTGTTATTTTAAAATAAGTACAATACACCCACGGCCCATTTATTATATCTGCAGTAATCCACAGAGTCATGATCATATTAATATTGTTACATATATTATTTCTCYCAATTCTTTTTAGTTGCAAAGAGTATGCGTGAGGTTCTCACTTGGAGGTGGCAAAACATTTTTACAAAATAATTAGAGTTTGAGAAAACTATATAATTATTAGATATTATTTTTTTTTCAAAGATTCTTAATGAATGTTAAATGGCTTAAATCAATTTATTTATTGTTAGAATACTCGTAACATACTAATAATACGAGTTGAACAAATATCAAGAAAATGTAGAAGATTCTCATCGCTCTTACGATCGTGGATGAATTAATTAATGTAGGACGAACATTTAAGTGTGCCATTAATATGCCACATGTGAACTGTAAACTGCTCGGGATCCAAAAAACTCAGTCCACTGTGCATACACGGATTAATATATTATATTAATTGTAACTTACTACACACACCATACAGACTTAATATATAGACAGCTGCAATTGTAGTAATCAGCAGTGTTATTAGTTAATTATTATAGAAACGTAGATAAAATAAACTAGAATATGCCTGAACAAGACGATTATTATGACGAATGCGGATAGTTCATCGACATGGTTACAGCAAGACGCAAGTGCATGATATTAGAGTCTTACGACGTGCGATAGTTACAGTAAAGGTTTTTTAGTGTTATTAAAATATTATATTAGTGGGCTTCATGTACGTGTTGAATCTCTACGTCTATAAGAGCGCCGTTGTATGTCTCGTTTGACGCGTGTGAAAAATGAAAATCGCCAATGTTTTTTTTTTATTTGCGGTAAAGTTGTAGTATTGGCATTCACGGTCAGTACACATATAATAATAATATACTGTTTTAATATACTTTTTCTCTGGTTCCATCCATAGTAAGTACTATAATAAGGTTAGATTAGGACTAGACTATTAGAATTCCACGACGTTTTGATTCGAAATACGTAAACCTAACCTACGCGTATATACCTACTTCATTTGTATCATTATATTCTAGTAATATATTATAGCAATGTTGTTTGCTCGCATTCGTTATTCTATATCGTACACAATATCACGTGTAATCCATTTAATATTATGTATAATATGGTAAAAATTTAAAATATTATAAAATTATTGTAATATTATTTACGCAATAATTACATTCAGACAAAGAAAATATGAATTAATCTACATTCTGCACATGATTTATGTACCTACCTATTGAGCGATTAATATTATAGTGTTTCTAGTGGATGGTTAAAAGTGATCATTAGTAACTATGTACAATTATCGTTGATACATCAATACGCATATATGGAATACTATAAACATTTTTATTCAATATCACTATTTTTTTTTTCTTTACCATCAAATCCGTAAAATAATATTTCGATATTAATTTCAAATATTATGATGAACGTATTAGTTGAATTAGGAAAAAGTGCAATTCTCTGATACACGATTAAACAGGACCTAAAACATATGTATATAGATAAAAACCAATAAGTGTGTGAATTTCTTTGTTATAAAATTATTGATGCAAAGAAACAAAGCACACTATTTTACATTTATAATACAAAATATTAAAATGAACTAGATTATTTGTGTGCATTCTAAAATGAACTAGTTGGCGTTCAACGATTTTTTCACTATCTACAGTAATGACTCTTATGAAATTATTTTTTTGTATAAATAATTATAATAGTAAATTAGAATGATATCTGTAGATATAACCATTGTATGTTCTTCTCTTCGTAAGACTTTCATTTAATTACCTATTTAAATCATTATTATTTAGAAACTAATCAGAATGACAGGAATGTACATCAAATTTGGCGGTGTGCACTTTTTTACATGACTATACTGACTAATGCACCAAACTTATGATTGGAACGATATTATCTTTAATAATATAATAAACAATTAATAATTAAACGATTATATTTTTATTAGGGTTACGAGTATTTATAATAATTTATCAGGGTTTACTAAAACGTGCATAATACAATATTCATATAATAGTACAGTCGACTCTCGATAATTCAAACCTTCAATAATTCGAAACCTTTGGTAATTCGAAGTAAATACTCGGTTCCTTGAAAATCATGCGGTAATTCGAACAAAAACAATGCATTTTAAGTACATTCGGTAATTCGAAATTTTTCGCTCCAGTCAAAAGTTACTGTTGAGGTTTTTGATGCTTTATTTACAATAGAAAATACTATTGAAAAAATGAAACTAAATTCAATGAAGCAGAAAACCATTGCAGATTTCTTCAAAAAATAATAATCTTTTATAATAATAATAAATAATTAAAAATTTTAAAATTAATAATAAATAACTCTATCATGTATCAMCTAATTTACTGAAATAATTAATATGTATGTATGTACAATAATAAAAAACAAAATTTTTTTCTCAACTCTCTATAGTTCGAATTTTTTTTTGCCCTCTCGTTATTTTAAACTACTCGACAATTCGAATTCTTGGTAATTCGAAGTTTTTCAACAGTCCCGTCAATTTCGAATTATCGAGAGTCGACTTTATATTGTATTAAAGGCATCGGAGCTGATGCGTTTTTAATACTAAAACTTGCTTTTTTGGTAACAAGAAAAGCTCTCATGCAGTCATGTCTTGAAAAATGTAAAATAGAAAGATTTCGATAATATTTTCTTTTTATTTGACAAAAAGGACTTTATACTCGGACTGATAAAATTTAATTTAGATTAAAAAAAATATGTATTTTATATAATTTAATCCTTTCCCTTTCAGATTAAAAATTGAATAAGAAATATTACATCAAATTCAATCATAATATTTCCTCTTATATTTTATATTTTTAAAAGAAGACAATTAATTACTCTAATTATATTGTATTACAGTAAGTTATGATAATTTGTGGATTTTATTAATTTAACTAAAAATTTAGTTACATAACACTTTCATAAGCCAGTAAGCCACATTATATGCTTTGAACAAAACGTCTAGGTTAGGTTATGTTATGTTAGATTATCGTCTCCGCGATATATGTATCTACTCGTAAGTCGTAAACTATTGTAACTATTCCTTTTGTTGGTACCTATAGGCATACACTAAATACTTTGGAAGATATTTGAGTTTTAAAATATGAATTTGAGTTAATTTAAATATATAATATAATAATATATAATATCATCAATTTGTTATGAATACACTGAATCGTGATTCATATTTAAAATACGCAGATGAAATGCCTAACACTGTTTATATATATTGTTAACAGTTTTTCACAATTAATATACGTTATTAATATAACAGTATATTATTATATACTATCGTTCTATATAATGAATTACCTATTAATTTTTGTCACTTGTAAGTATAACGTATATGAACAGAATATCAGCAACAACAACAAAAATAGCAACAACAACAACAACAACAACAGCAACAAACATAGCATCATTAACAAAAACATCGATAAAATTAGACTAAATACCGATTTTATTGACAATATTTTCGATTTACAACGAAATATACTTATATTTATATATAGCGATCACCGTACAATTATGTACTGTAACTTTGTACACATGATGGGAAATTGAAAAATATAAAATTCCTAACCTAATTCGATGGTATACAACGTATAATATTAGGCAAATAAAATATTAAAAACAGTGTTAATGAAAATCGGTCATATTATATTCTGGTCGTTGACATATTATTATTATCATCTGGCCGTCGTTTTTCAGGCTGATTTCGGATGTTTCACCGCGTAATCGTCAAACGCTTTGATAGCTTCCTGTTTAGTTACATCGTCCGGATTGGTCTTGGTTGAGCTGAACGTGTTCTTCAGCTTAGAGAAAGCGCTGCTGAAGAAGTTGTTCAGCTGCGACTCGACCTTTTTGGTGTTCTCCGGCTCTTTGATCGCTTCCTGCACTTTGTTGTACGTTTCCGACGCGGTTTGCTTGAACGAATTCATGAACTCGGTCATCTTGCCCTTAGCCACCTCCTGCAAACTATCCATCCCCTGTTGTTGCGTGGTGTCTGTCGCGCGGCTACACTAAATAATCAAAACAAACCACACGGTTTTTTGTTTTTGTTTTTTAATATTCAAATTTTGGAAAAAACCCCCAACCCTTGGTTAAATTTCGTATACACGTATAATATTTTTGCTATATAGATTTATGGGTTCAAAAATAAACCACAGTAATATAATTGTGTATTATTGTGTATAGCGTTATATGCGTGACACAGACACTCGCATGATATAATAATCGTCAAAGTTTAATGCATAAAAAAATATTATGGGAACATTTATCTATAAAACTATGAATATTACATCATAATAATATATTATATATAATTACGAGGCACACGACGAGATAGTTAGGTTTTGCGAACCTCGCACGCCGCCGTGCGTGGGATTTCGGTCATCGCGATTTTTCGGCGTACATAATATATTATTATCGCCATGTCTCGAATTTGTCGTTCGCCATGAACGCATTTTAATAATCCTATCGGAGTATATATTCATTTGGAATTATATTATTTAAATGTACGTATAAAATATTATATTGAATTATAATATCTTGGTGAATATGTTAAACAATAACGCTCTCCTCGACATGTACACCTATATTATACTATATTACATTTCGACACGTCTTATTAAATTCGAGTATGCCGAATAATCGAAAAAAAGGAACCAATACCGAAGAAACATTTTTTTTTTTTTTGTATTTTTAATAATGTTATACAACGCGTTAGCATCCATTGTTTTTTATGGTATACGACAAAAGTCATACCACAAATCTCAGCCACATTTTATACTATAATATTAATATTGTATCGCATCATAATATTAATATTGTGATTTTATTTTTTTTAGTATAATGTTAGTGTTGTTATTGATTATTATTTTACTTGGATACCAATAAGTATACAATAATAGTTGTTGGTTGTTGTATTACTAACATAACACGGGTACATAAATGTGAATTATATAATCGTTGAGCTCTTGCCTCTTGAAGAGTTTAATTTGCATTCAATTTATGGAATGCGATTATGATAATAATGTCTTGTTTGATACCAATATCTATTTGTGTTTGAACGGTTTAAGTAGATATTTTGATTTTGCACCAAACGATGTTAAGTATTCTAGGTATCTACTCATTTTATTATCTCTAACTAATTACTGTAACATGATAAAATATTTTTTTGCTAAATCACTAGACTGCAGATGTAGGACTACAGTAGATAACAGTTGAATTTGAAGACGATAGTAATTTAGTACTATTTGAGTGAGAGTAGATTGAGTTCCGAAAAATCTGTCTCCCCTCACATTATTAACACCAATTTTAGTCTAAAATATATACTTACAGGTATAGGTACTTATTTTTATATCTAACTGTTAGACTGTAATAAGCKACGAAAAATTGTATCTCGGGAAAATAAATGTATAACATGAGAAAGAAGAATGATATTATTATTTGGTGCCAATTTAAATCATGAAATTCCCCAAAAAAGCCAAGAAAATAAAAACGGTGAATTCTTTAACAGAGTAAATAACATTAGAAAAAAAATTTGAATTTAACTTGTTATGAATGTTATGTATATTAAAATTGTATTAAATTAAAAAAGTAACTCGATTGTATGAACACTTGAACTAGGTACTTTATCCTTAATATTCAATTGCCTTTTTGTGGTATCCAGTCCACTGATGCACTACTTACTACTAGTAAGTTACTAGGTAATTCAGATTACATATCTGATTTCAAATCTGCAATTATTTTGGGTAAAATTAACAAAGGTAACGAAGTGGAGCAATTTATAAAATCAATTAAAGTCAAAATAATTGAAGTATATACGTCATAAATGGGCTACGCTTTTACGTTGTTTTTATATGATCGAGATCGAAGCAATTTAGATTTTAAGATTTTAAGTTGCATACATTTTTTTTTTTCAATAAACTTATACATTTTTATACGAAAAAAAAAAATATCCAGACAATTTCATCGATTTCATTGTGATCAATTTTTCGTTTTGTTTTATATGCATCAAATGAATTAATTCCAACCGATTTACTATGCGCCGTTCCGATCAACTACGTATTATTATAATACCAGCTCATCGAAACATTTTGCAAATCTCACCACATCTGTACATCATTTATTTCAATGTATAATTCATGAATGACAAAATTTGACTTTTTTGCAGATGATAAAATTATGAATAGAGATAAATCGCAGCCATCGTCGCCCTTCGTCGACTGACATAATAATATATAACATTTTGCTTCGTTGTTGAAATCGTTGGCCATTGTTGCCGTTCGAAACGCCGCGCTGCACCGAATAAAAATTATGTGGAGATGAATTATTATTTTCTTTTTACTTGGTTATTATTATACATTTGACTGATTTGGGAAGTATACGTTGAATTAATATTATTATTACATAGATGGCCAATATTACATTCACTCTCAAGTCATACATATAACATTATTGCTACACACAGTACACACTTCATATCATGATCTTTGATGTATAGATTTTTTTTTATCTTTTGTTTGTATTTCCGTAACGGTTAACCACTTAATCTGATTTCTATATTATACGAATATGATTTAATTATTTGATTTATGCGCACAGTTACGAGTTTAAAATTTAACGCACAACGTAAATAGTATTATAGGTATATATTATATTATAAAAGAATTATTTGATATATTAAAGAACACAGCAGTAAATGAATATGTTATGTTATATATACAAAATAGGTATCATACATTGTTGTACCTAAATGATTTATATTTGTATATAAAAGTGTATGTACAGAAATACTGAGAAACACAGATACACACACTGATGTTTAGTATTAAATGATTAATTTAATGTATGTCTATGTATGTACCTACAAATCATATTATAAGTGACGGCTATTATTTAGGCACTATTAAATATTTAAATGTGTCATTATATGATAATTTTTTTTTATTGGTAATGATAAATTTACTTTTAATATACCATCACAAAAACAATCTTAATAGAATAGTCCATAATATGCTGTTTGCATGCAAACATTTAAAAAAATTAAATAATATGTAAAAACATGCATTGTAAATTTTTACTTATTTTGTGTGATGACCAAATTATTGTTATAAATTAACCACATCAAAAGATGATGACGTGCATGTTGTATTAAATCTTTAACGACTGTGTATTAAAATAATTAATAAATAGTTTACTATTATAAAAAACCTTCTTCTGTTTTTTTTTGTAGATTTCAAAATGTTCCTTATGATTTCAAAAGTATTCAAAGTTCTAATCACGGTGTTAATTTTCAATTTGTTAGGTATAATTTTACGTTATATCAAGTATTTAAGTATAGTGTATGAGACATTGAGGCTATGAAATGCTATATATAAGTATACTTATTTTTGTTTAGTATAATTTTTGAATAACAGAAAAAGTAAAATTTGCGGTCATAAATATTTACTATAAATTCATATCGTTGAAACATTGTTCTAATGTGAAAAATCGAATGGCAAGGTCGAAAAATTTAAATAAGTTGTTGTTGGAGGTATTATAAATTATTTTATGATTGTTTAAAAGTAATGATTTATTTAACGAATGTATATACTATAAACTGTTAATAAAACCCGTACCATAATATTACAATTTATAATCTACATTTTAGTATTATAATATTTAAATTTAAACCATAATTTAAGATATTTTGGATCATTGTAATCTATATATTGATTATAAACTCGTTTAAGGAATTAAAATAAGAATTGGTTTAATACGATTATTAATTTTTTTTCTTAAACCCGTACGATAAATCTAGTAAAAAATAATGTAATATAATAGTCATATTTAAAATAATAATAATTATCATGATAGATCCAATCTATCAAATACAATTACTATATTATTATTATTATTATTATTTGGCCTAACTCATAGTATAATATAAAGTACCATCAAAATTATCACGAGCTGAATACACACCTTATGTGTATGTAATATACTTTATATATTTATAATAATAATATTTAAATATTGGTATTTATATAGGAATAGATTAGGTATATTTTTTCAATAAATTAATATTTTTGCAAAGTATCTATTATGTGAGTTGTTGTGTTGATATATTTTATCATTTTTGAGTACTTATTTGAAAATAATGCACACCTTGTTTTATATTATTAACACATGCGAGTTGAAATCGAAGAATGGGCTTTTTGTATGGTTTGAAGCTGAAACGTATGCATGTATAATAGAGCCAATCGATAGAAAGAAAACTTAAATTTAAACCAGAACGAACGATAAAAAAAATAATAATAATGAGTTCATCTTCGTGCAATAATGTTTGCACATTTACAGACTCGAGGATGTGTCCACGTGATGATGGTAGCTCGATGTTCGTTTAATATTGGTTCATGTATATGTTAAACGAACACAAATATAATGCCATAAATTGTAGAATATTATTATTCAATGAAGTTCGAAAATAAATTGAATATTATGGTCAAATTATGTAGAATTTAATATTATTATATACAGAATTTTAAGTGTATTCACTTATTTGCACAACGTACCTATCTATAAATGTATTTCTGATACATTTAGTGCATTTTAATAATAAAGATCATCTTCAAACATACAAAAAGACCATTGGAAAAATAATTTAATATTATGTACGTTTGTGGAACTGTTATAAAACATTATGGCGCATTATAGTTATTCTTTCGTCGATATATCGAAACATTATTATTGTGCACCGCAATAATAATGATAATTACGACGATAAAATAGTATAATATTATATCATAGGATGCCTATTAATATACAYTTTGATATTCAATACTCACGTCAAAAACAAGGCACACCAGTGCCGTGACGACGAGGGCTTTGATCGCGAATCTTGCCATTATTTCGATTGTTGAAAATCAAAAAAAAATAAAAATGAGAAATCTAAACTGTAGTTGTGCAGTCGAAAGTTAATAGTACACACACGTTTGTACGTCTCAGGAGCAACAGAATACACTAGTACACTACTACGATTAATTGCGAGCCGAGGACGGATAGTATGTGGGTTAGTGATAGAGCGTGCGCGCGTGCTTGATGCGTGCGTGCGTTAGAGTTGTATGTGAGAGGAGGTGTGTGTGTGTGTGGTTTTTCAAGAAGTGTAKGCATGTATGTGTGTTAGAGTTGGTGCATGTGTGCGTGTGTTTTTGTGAACCCTAACACCAGGATCACGGCGGTCACGCGATTAGACATCAATACTGAAGACTATAATGTTATTATTTATTTTATTAACGCGTAAATCGACTGCTAGCGCGTTTGGTTAAGTATCACTCATTATAGACTGTTGGCGTCAAATATAAAAAAAAATCACATCGCTACACTAAAAAATTAATAGGTAACAATAACAACAATAATAACTAACYCTATTGTATGCGCGCGGCGGAAGAGAATGTATTTTTTACAATTTTCGTTTGTATATGATAATAACAATATTATAATCTCTATGATTCTACCTATATATYGTATGTTATTATATTTATATTATAATAATATATATTCTGTGTGTGTGTGTGGGTGTTTTTATTTGATTTGATTAGTTAAACCTTGAACATCGGCGGCCGACATAAGAATAATATTTGTGYGTAAAAAATRGTCTCTGATCCGATATTATCTGTACGTATGTACACGTCCGTTTGCTGTTCGTATGYTATACAATAAATTAATATWATATTATTTATGACTCATCGTATAATTTATTAATTTGACTCTACCATCGGGGAAGGTCTCTCGTTAGTGCTAGGTATAATACAATAATTGTGTATTATACACCGCTATTTCAGTTCCCATTATTCTCTCACCTTTTGTGTTCGTCTTCGTCGACGTTCCGATCAGTAAAACAATGATCGTTTACAATAATATGAAAACAGGCCAATGTATGATGTATAGTATAGGTAGGTACCTATGTTTGTATATGACGTATCGATGATGAGAAGAATCGAAGGTCTCCGTCAGAATCTCAATATAATACGAGTTTTATAATCACACAGATACATGTATAAAGGAACCCAACACGTATTATATTACATGACTAGGATTTATGTATGCAATATAAAATAGTAAAATGTGCATTTTCTTTTGTTGAAGTATGCTAAAATATGCAATAAGAATATGTAAAATAATCAATGAATAATTATATCAATCATTTCCAAATTGTCATTTAATTTTAAAATGTTGATAGTTATGGTAAGAAAATCAATGTTGGTTTTTATATAAGCTGATATTATTTTAGATTTCTTACTTTGAAATAAAATATAAATCTATATTAATTTTAATAGATTTTAAATTGTTATCGTTCGAAGACAAAATCAATGGTCTTATAGAATTGAATATTACGTTGATTAACGCGGTATGATACAGCAATGTAGCATCTGCCTAAGTATATACACCACAAGCGTAGCATAATTCATTTTTATAGGGAAGCTATAGCCTACAATGTTTCGGGTATCTATATAAAATCAACGGAGTGGACTAAACTAAATTCCAGGGTAGCTATAGTCAACTTATCCCCTCTCCCCTATGATGTGTACTAATTTTAAGCTATTTTGAGCCTCATTGGTATTTTTTGAAAAGTTAAAATATTCTTAGTTTTTTTCTTTAATTATTTATAT